GCCAAATCCAAATGTTAATCCTTTTGCTGTTGTACCTTGGGTAAATCGACAAAATATTAATAAAGAAAATATCAATCCTTTAAGTAACGCTCTCGTACCTTGGCAAAATAACGCTATGGTACCTCAAAGAAACATGGTTCCATTCGATAAAAATTAGGAAGTTCCATGGACAACTCATAGAGTTGTTAGAATTCGTCCTCCTGGTGGAAAACTTTGTAGCATATGTGGTGCTATGGGACATAGAAATACAGTTAGAACACCATGTCCTATTCAAGGACAACCAATACGTCATTTAATCGATATAAAAAAATCTGTAAGAAATTATTTCAAAGATCCAAAACCACATATGAAATTATGTAAATGTTGTGGTCAAATAGGTCATTCCAAAAAATATTGCCCAACTTTTGTAGCTGCAGGTGTTGCTGCTAATACTGATCCTCGAACTATTAATACATGTCTTGCTCAAAGACAATTTGATAAAATCAAAGAAGGTTTAGATAAATTCAAAATAAGACACAAATTAAAAAGAAAATTAATTCTTATATCTATGTTGCAAAATCAAAATCTCTTAACTTTTTAATAAATATATAATATAAAATAAAATATTTTAAATATTATCATATAAAATAAATTATTTAAACAAATATATAATATAAAATAAAATATTTTAAATATTATCATATAAAATAAATTATTTAAACAAAGTATTTTTTTTTCTTTCAATACATAAACAAAAAAAATGACTAAAAAACTTTTATTAATAATATTATTAATAATATTATTAATATTCAGATCAGAATCTGTTAAAAGATGTAATATTTGTAGGAAAACAGGTCATAATAAAAATAAATGTCCGATCATATTTAGTGCAATAGTACCCTTTAGAAATCTTCTTAATCCTGTATCTTGGCAAAATAATGCTATGATGCCTCAAAAAAATATAGTATTCGATAATAAAAAAATCTCAGATAATTGGAAACCTCCTTGGATAACACATAGAATTATTAGAACACGTCCAGCTTCTGGAAAAACTTGTAGTACATGTGGTAGTATGGGTCATAGACATAATTCAAAAGGAAAAAGTGGATGTCCTGTAATTCGAGCTATTGATAGAAATTATTTAATGAATACTGTAAACATAAGAAAATCAGTAAATAAATATTTTGAAAATCCAAAATCAAATATAATATTATGTAGTTGCTGCGGAGAACTCAATCATTTAATAAAAAATTGTCCGATTTACATTCAAAACAATAGAAATATGAATGGTTGTATACCAGGACCACAAATTGATAAAATCAAAAAAGGTGTAGATAAATTCAGAAAGAAATATAATTTACAAAGAAAAGCAATTCCTCAATTCATATTACAAAATCAAAATCTATTAACTTTTTAAATGTATCTAATAAAATTATCAATATTATTTCTTTTATTATTATCATTTGTTAAATGCCAAATTCTATATTTTTTTAATTTTCCTTATCAATATGTAAATCGACCACAACCAATCTATTCAATCCCATTCCAATACATAAATCAACCACAACCACAACCATATTTTTTCGTAAATCAACCACAACCACAACCATATGCTTTTGTTAATATACCTAAAACTCCAAAAATACCTAGAAGACCTAGAAGACCTAAAATACCAAATTATATCGCTGCATGCGGTTGTTGTGGTGGTGAAAATCATAACAGAAATGATCCACGATGTCCATATCAAAATGGTAGAATACAAGCTTGTTTAGACCCTAGAATAATAAAATCTACTAGAGAAATAAGATTATTTTATGCTGAAAACAGAAGACCTATGCCACCACATCTAGGAGATGGACCACCACCTCCAATGCCTCCTAGACCTGGTGGTTTACCTCCTCCTGGTCCAAATATACCTCCTGGTAACAATGGTGGTATATTTCCTCCACTACCTCGACATCCAAAAGGACCTAGACCTATGGGTGGTGATGATGATCCACTTCCTAATAACATAGATCTAATTCAACCTATTCAAAACCAAATTCAAAATATGCAAAATTAACTTCAAACTCGTGATCAAAACCTATTTGATTTGATCACAAGATCTGAAAATAGATTAAAAACTTCTTTAAATAACTTACAAAATAATATACATAGAAATACACGAAATTAACACATCGATACACGTCGTAACATATTCAATCGTTTTAACGGATTGGATCAAAGAATAAATATTAGACTAGATACTTTAAATCGAAATATCGTAAATGGAATAAATAATAATCTAAATCAAAGACTTGGTACCTTAGATAATTATCTTGCTAATAGATTTAGAGATACTAATAATAATATCGATAACATAAATCAAAATTTCAATAACAGATTTGGTAAAATCAATAATGATATAAACAATTTAAATGAAAAAATCGAAAATTTAGATCAAAGAATAAATTTTGGAAATAGTCTAATGAATAATAGATTAAAAAATATAGAAGAATCAAATGATGATATAAGTAGAAATATTCTTAACGTAGATAAAAGAATAATTGAAACTGATAGTAGTATAAGACGTATAAGGAATAATAATTTTTTTGAAAGATTAACAGATATGCAAAATCTATTAAACACACACATGACTACTCAAGATACCATATTAAAAAATATGCAGAATCTGATAAGACAAGATGATACTAATTTTGAATTAATGTTTGTAAATTTTCAAAATAACATGCAAAATTTTATTAATAATCGACTTGGACAAGAAAGAGAAACTATACAAAGATTATTCGAAAGATTAAATCAAATTCAACAAAGAAATCCAAGAAGAATAACTGTAAATCATAGAAGAACACAAAGATTCTTAAATGGATCTCCAAGAATAGGAAGATCATCTATTAATCTAAAACGACAAAGATTAATCGGATCATTACAAAGACAAATAGAAAATGAAGATAATTTTATGAATTCTGATATTATAAATAATTTTATAAATAATATTAGAAATAATCCAAATACTGAAAATCAACTAATAAGATATAATAATTTTATAACAAATATTCCAAATGAAATAGAAGATAATTTTATGAGTGGATTAGGAATACATTCTAATGTAGATAATATTTATTTAGGAGAAGCTATAATAGAACCTAGAAGTGGAAGTGGATCCTCATTAACATTTAAAAAAGATCCTATTCTAAGTAAAAGAAAAACACGTGAAAATTATAATAGTGACAGTGATTCTGATGATCATACTAATAAAATACGAAAAAATACAGAAATTATACAAGAAAATCAAATTATCGAATCAAATTCTTTTCAAACTGATTTTATTTCAGATGTAACATATACATCTGATACATCTGATGATGATTTATTCATAACAGAAGAAGAAATTGAAAAAAGAAAAGAAGAAGAAAAAAACAAATTATTATCACCTAAAGAATTTTCAGAAGAAACTGAAAGAAGAATACAAGAAAGAAATCAAATTCGAATAACAAACAATTAACCAATCAATTCTTACGCATCAATACAAGATGAAATTACTGTAACGATAGATACTCCTATCAATAGAGATAATTTAGAAATAGTACCTCAAATAACATCATTAACAACATCTAGACCAGGAAGTTCAATGAGTATACAAAGATTATTTAATAGTAGACCAAGTACTCCTATGGAAGATGTAGAAGAAAGTAGATCATCCAATAATTTAGAAAAAATTTTTAATATTTTCAGTAAAAAAAATTAAACCATGTATATATTTTATTTCAAATTTCAATTTATTAATAAATATAAAAATATTAAATATAAAAATATAAAAATATTAAATATATAAAAATTCTAATAATTATTTCAATTTGTTTTTCTCTCTATTTGGTTGTTTGTTTAAATCATATCCTCTGATTTCATAATTAATATCTGGTTTAAAGAATCTAAATAAAGAATTTACATTTTTCAAACCTTTAAAATTTTCAGCAGCATCAAATTTAATATTTTTTTTCCTTCATAATTTTATACAATTCTTTAGCATAAAATGCATAAGTAACATCTTTTGCAATTTTTTTCATCCTTTTTAATTCCAATTATATCATTATCTTCTTTAAAATTAGCTTTAATCTAACGATAAAGTCTAAACTTAATCATGAATACAAAACGTGGATTATTTTTAATAACAATATTAAGACATTTCCCTTCAAACTTTAATTCTTCTTCATCTTCTCTTTTACAAATATAAATTAATAACTTAAATAATGCTTCAAAACCATCACTAGTATCAAAAGTTAACTGAGTGATCTTATGTGTATTTTCTAAACCAGCTACAACATATGATGTTGTACTACCTTTATTTTTTAGTTGTTGGATGGTAAAATAAATATTAACTTTTTCATATAGTTTTTTTTCTTTTTCAAGTGTAATATTAAAGTCTTGAATTATCGAAGCATCGATTAAAATTTCATCACTATCATCTTTGACATAACTTGTACAAAGAAAAGGATAATCAATACTATAAAAATCAAGGATCTCTCCAGTATCTAAATTAAGATACTGTAATTTATCCTTTTTATTATTGTTATTGAAAGACATTTTATTTTATTTTATTTTTTGTATTTTCTCTTTGTAAAAAAATATAATGTTTAAATAGATAAATTAATTATTAATTAATTTTTAATATATTAATAATGTAACATCAAAATTTTATTTTGATTTTTAATTCAAAATGGAAATCGATAATGAAAAAACAATAAAAAAACGGTATGTAACTTAAAATAATTATTGAATATCAATTAAATTAATAATATTAATAATTACTCTTAATAGTATGTAAATTATAAAATTGAATTTATTCCTATTCGATAATCTAATCTGTATTATCTAAAGGTAAAGCAACAACTACCGAAAATAAAAAACCAAAAGAAAATGGAAAAGATCTCTTATCTATTAAAAATTCTATAGATATTTTGATAAGTGAAAAGGAAAAAAAAATCAATAAATTAGAATCAATAATCGAAAATTACAGAGATAAAAACAACAATCTAAACGAAGAAATTATCAAATTAACCAATGAAATGAAAAAATTGAAAGAAAAAACAGAAAATGATAATACTATTATAGAACTGCAAAATCAAATCAATATTCTAAAAAAAGAAAAAATGACTTCTGATAATTTTTATAACCTAAAAAATAACGTGACAGAGTATGTTATGAAAAGCTTAGTAGATCATATTCATAGCACTGTCTACAATCATATAAATACTATTAATAAAATTATTCTCGATTATACAACAAACAAGAAAACTTCAGAAGTCATTGATGGATATTTTAAATCAATCTTTGCTACTGATAGTACTTTATTAGAAAATTTAAACTTGAATAATGATAGTAGTATATTAGGAAATATAAATTTCAATATTAATGATGTAAACGAATAATTTTATCATGTTATTAATCAATTAAATATATTCATTTCAATTATAATTAAATATTATTATTAATAAATACTATATACATTAATTTTCAAAAAAATTATCATCATTATCATCATTTTTACTACATTTAAAATAATTAGTAATCTTATTTTTAGTAGGAATTAATATACCAGTTGCTTTTCTCTTTTTTTCTTTTTCCTCTTTTTCCTCTGATAAGTCTAAATTCTGTTTTTTTCTAAGTCTATTATCTAAAATAACAAATTCTCTTTTTCTCTTTCCTATTTTTTTATCCGATAAATTTAAACCTTCATCAAGTGTCTTATTTGTATATCTATCAACTATGCTAACTAACCATTTTTTAGCTTCTAACTTTGAACATTTTAACAATACGGCCAAATTCGATACAATACCCTTTATATAATGAAATTTATCTATTCTATGACCTTTCTTTGGATCAAATAAACGTGTTAAAATTATACGTTTATATACCTTTGTCTCACCATGTATATACAATACCAAATAAAAAAAACGTGGTTTATCAACTTCTACACCCATCATTTCCATACGATCATTAAAATTCTCTACCATTGATTTCTTTTTTTCAGATACTTGTTTCAATATTGTTATTAATAACCTTATTAATATTTGAATCAGAAGCTAAATGTTCAATATGTGGACGTAGAGGTCATAATAGAAAAAAATGTCCAGAAAATTTTTGGCCTTGGCCAAATCCAAATGTTAATCC